CACACACACACACACACACACACACACACACACACACACACACACACCCCTGACAAGAGCTATCACAAACCCATTCAGTAAACTAAGGAATGTTTTTATGAATGGCCCATAATACACATTAGCTCAGTTCCATGTTCAAAACAGAATATAGCAAAACCTCTGTATTTTTTTCCACAGATCTTTCTTCTATTTCCAGGGTCAGAGCAGAAAAACCCAATGTTGAACATTTCTATTCTATACAATTGTTTTTACATTATATGATGACAAACTTAACAAACAAGAATTTGGCAGCTGAACTTCATTTTCCATAATTAAAAATTACATATATCTTTGTATAGCAACTTCAGTAGAGGGAAGGACACCCAAATTGTATACAATCACATCTATTAAAAATCAGAAAATATTTCAAAATCAAGTAAGATAAAATAACATCCCATCTTGTATGTCTCAAATTTTCTACACCTTGCAAAAGACAAAGACATATTTTAGAGTTTAACATCATTTCCCAAGTATTCTAAACTCAGTTACCACAACAGTATTAAAAATTATCACGCAATTTCATGCAAAAATATTTTATCTTATTGCTATTTCACCTGTCTGATTACATTTCAGCCTCTAGTACTGTTAATCCCTTTAACAGTTTTATGTAGTTAACAGATGTTTCAGTGTGGGACTCCATTGTTCATTTGCATGGTGAAGAGCTTGTTAAAAAATGTTGGCACAGTCTTCAGTCAAGAAAGTCCTATAGTTTTCCATTTCTTCCCTGGATTGCATTTACCATGTCTAAAATAATGACTGCATTTTCCTCTTCACTTTGCTGGTAGTAGATCCAGAGAATCTACTAACAGAAGTATTGGTGGTCCAAGCCAGCAAAATATATTTCATCAAGTTTTGTGAATGCTAAAGGCAAGCTTCAGTATTTTGCCATAGAGCTCTCACAACTATGATATTTGATTTCTAAGGTCTAATGATAAAAGAGGGTTCTAAACTTTTAGAACAAAGTTGATAATCTTCCTCTGTTACACTTGAAAAAGCTTTACTTAATCCTGCCCCCCTTTTTCACTTTTGCAACCTTAAGACAAAGGAAGGGATCTGCCTCGTATATCTATCTTTATTTAAATAACTTTTTAAAAAATGCATTCTTAAACTGGGAGAAGTCACTCTGAAAACAGTATGCAGTTTCCTCAAAAAGTTAAAAATAGAACTACCCTATGACCCAGGAATTGCACTACTAAGTATCTACCCAAAGGATACAAAAAATACTGAGTCAAAGGGGCACATGTTTACAGCAGCATTATCAACAATGGCCAAACTATGGAGCTATGGGAAGAGCCCAAATGTCCATCAACTAATTATTGGATAAAGAAGATGTGGTAGATATATAAAATGGAATATTACTTTGTCATCAAAAAGAATGAAATCTTGCCATTTGCAATGAAGTGGATGGAGCTAGAGTGTATTATGCTAAGCAAAATAAGTCAGTCTCAGAAAGATAAATACCATATGATTTCACTGATATGTAGAATTTAAGAAATGAAATATGAACATGGCAGAAAAAAAAGAGAAAGGCAAACGAATTCTCTACTATAGAAAACAAACTGAGGGTTGCTGAGGTGAGGTGGGGGGATGGGTTAAATAGGTGATGGGTATTAAGGAGTGCACTTGTGATAAACAGTGTTATATATAAGTGATGAATCATTAAATTCTACTCCTGAAACTACCATTACACTATATGTTAACTAACTAGAATTTAAATAAAAAATTGAAACAAAAAAATGCATTCTTGTTAATTTGTTCTAAATATAGCACTTGGCTATGAATACTTTGAGAGACATATTTCAACATTAATATTCAAATTTTAGTTTAGATAACATGGTGATTAAGAAGAATTAATTCATTTGAAAAAAGAGGTTATATGTGACTCAACCAGATATATATTCATTGTCCAAATGACATTTCATCCTTGACTTCTGGTCTCAAGAAATACATTACCATATTTGCTTTTCAGTCCTATAAACTCAAGTTAAATTAATACAGGGTAGCAAGAACATTACATTTAATAGTCTGTCTATCCAACTATAATTGGTAAGAATAATAGCCAATATTTACTGAGTACTTTGTGTCAGGCACTGTTTAAAGTGTGTAATATGCATTAATTCAGTTAATTCTCCTGGCAAGCCTAATTATGATTTGCACTTCGTAGCTGGAGAAACTGAGGGACATGGAGTGAAGTAAATGCCTGAGATTGTGTGATTAATAAAAGAGTAGATAATCAACCGCAACCTGTTGGGCACCAGAGCCCTCAACCACAGTGCTATTACTACCTCTCTTTAAGAACAACAACAACAGGGGATGCCTGGTATCTCAGTTGGTTAAGAGTCTGCCTTCTGCTCAGGTCATGATCCTAGTGTCCTGGGATTGAGACCTGCATCAGGCTCCCTACTCAGTAGGGAGTCTGCTTTTCCCTCTCCTTCCGCCTCTCCCCCCGCTTGTGGTGTCTCTCTCTCTCTCTCTCTCTCTCTCACATAAATAAATAAAATCTTTAACAACAACAACAAATACCTAAGTATGTCAATGTTATAGGTGAACAAGATACACTGTCATCTGCTTAATAATTGTGAAAATGAGAGGGTTTTGCCCCAATATGTCCAACTCCTAAAAAAAAAATTATGTAAGTGCATTGAAATGAACTAATCCAACTATATTCTAGACTTATAAAGCTGTCTCCATCTAAATATCCACTGGTGAGGCCCCTGGGTGGCTCAGTTGTTTAAGCAACTGCCTACGGCTCAGGTCATGATCCCGGGGTCCTGGGATTGAGCCCTGCATAGGGCTCCCTGCTCATCGGGGAGCTTGCTTCTCCCTCCCCCTCTGCCTGCCACTCCCCCCGCTTGTGTGCTCTCTCTTTGTCAAATAAATAAATAAACTCATAAATAAACTCATAAATAAATAATAAATATCCACTGTTTTATGCCATATTCAAAATAAAGAACCTTAAAATTTAAGTAATTATTTAAA